GGAGGGGATGTCTTCCTGACTGGATGAAAAGGAGGGGGGCTCCCTCTGCGCACATCTGCAGAAGGGGCTGCACGTTCTGGAGGGAGGCCTTGCGTCTAGACCAGTTGAGAAAGGAGCTACACACCATAAAGAAGTGCTTAGGGAAGTCAAGTAATTTTGCTGTAGCTCCTGTTATGGCAATAAAGCATCATGTGATATTAGTGAGCAATCATATTAAAAATTCCTCTTCAATCATCAGTAAAAGCCTGGAAGATAATCCTACTGATCCCTGCATGTGGCTTTCCAGCACCCTTGTTATCTATGGCTTGATTTTTGGGGCTCAATGCCGTAAACACTACTGAATGTGTAAGACTACTCGTAGTAGCCAACATTATACTCAGGAGCGCATGCTGGACTGGAGACTCCAGTGTCTCCTTTAAAGCAGGGAGCATGGTATCAACACCTAAATCAGCCATATTCTGCTCTTGTGCGGTGCAAGTCACAGGAGGCCAAAGGAGTCACTCTGGATTTATACCACTGTAAACGAGAGCAAAATCTGGCCCCAAATTTCACTTGGCAACAAACTATTGCTGTCAACTGCCACCTTTTCAAAATGAGGTAAACTGAATGCCTTCTGACAAAAGTTTGCATTACACAGTCTGTGCTTCTTTTGACTTGTAAAGTACTCTTGGAAAAGCAGGTCTTGCAGTGATAAAGTGCTATCCCTGCCTGTGCCTCAGTCCCATAAGAGTCATTTCACATAAACAGTAGTGATATTAAAAGGGACAGTTGCACTCTGATACTATGGTGGGGAAGACCCTATAAATAAGATCAGTGCTAATTTGAAATTTAACACAGATAGAAGTGAGAAGACTGTTTAATCAAGTTTCTTCAGCAATAAAGAGCCTCCCCATTCAGGAAATTCATCAAATATTTTCAAGGCAGATGCCAAAGCATTTTACAATTACTTGCGGCTCCCTTTGGCTGCCCGGCTCACGTCTACTAATGTCTCACTGCATTAGCAACCGCCTGTCTTAGTTCCAAGCACTTTCCTCATTTTCTCCCTATGGAATAAGAGAGTTTGGTTTTCTGCCTGCAACTGTCACACAAAAAGCTACTGTTCTGAATGTAAAGGTAAAGTTGGTGGCCTGATTAGGAGATATTTATAGATCCTCAGAGGATTCCTAGCTAACAAAGGGCATTATGCGTTTTTAATAGTGCTACCTAGTGTGAAATATTTCATAAAACAAGGCAATAGATCTTTAGACTTCATCAGGCTGACAAGGGTGGGGGAAATTGTTTTCCACTGCACAGACTTATTTCTAGGAGGGGTTGCGTTCCCCCACCAACCAAGGTGGTAGTGGGGTAGCCAGGTTTTGCATAACCATTTTAAAATTTAGCATCTGATTTCTAGCGCATTGATTTGCATTTGAAAAAATAGAAAAAAACCAACTGTGGCACCTCCTTAGAAACTAAATTAATTATTTTTTTCATAATGCAAGAGGTGAATTGCAAAAACATTCCCCCCTCCCCCCTTTTCTGGGCCCGATCCTTCCCCCATTCAAATCCTTGGATTGAGCTGTGCCCTATGATGGGCACAGTAGGAGGTGACTCGGGCCCCCTGCTGGTGGCAAATTAAAAAACAGAAATCCAGCGGCACTTTGCTTCTCTTCTCTAAGAATAAAACTAAAACGCTGTTCAGTTAAGGCCCCCATTCTGTTTTCATAAAAAGACAGACACAGAGGCAACATCTGCATTTCTAAAAGGAACAACAAAAAAGAGTTGCCACTCCTGCCCCTGAAACTTTGCAGAATGAAAGTTTTGGGGAATGTCACCAAATTCCTTCAAAGGACCATAAACCTTTTAATGAGGTGCTCTCCCATTTTTAAGCCCAATTATTCCGCTTTTAACAACTGAATGGAATAACTTTTACAGCTCCTCATTACCCTGCAGGCTTCAGAGACCCCTGATTACCCATCCATCCTTGCTTAGTACAGGACTCCCTGCTACCCTACCCATCCCTAACGAAGGGCATTGTTTAAAAAGGAGCCTTTTGTACCCCTCCAACACATTTAGCTTATTAAAACGGTAATATTTCAAGGCATCTGCCACTAATGACATTCATTTCCTTACCTTTAAAAGAGAGGTCAAGGCAGAATGAAAGAGAAAAAGATCGACTGAGCTGGCTCTTTAACACTGAAGTCTGCAGCTTCCTGAGCCAGCCTGGTCAACAAGCCATGAAAGCCCTGATTGTCCCAAAGGTCATAGGTTATCATCAGTGAGTCACCCCTGGGACTGCCTGCCTGCTACCCAGGCACATCTCTGCCCTGCACACATCTAAACGAGGTGCTTCAAAGGACTGGCTGGTGCCAAGCTGGGTATCTCTGCCTAGCAAGCCAGGGTGCACATGCTGAGAAGCTGGAACAAAGTGGGACGGTTGTGCCAGGCTGGCTGAGCCAGCTGTCAGCTGGATACAAATGGTGGGCAAGAGATGGGTGTAGAGAGCCTGCTGGAGACTGTAGCAACCAGGACTCCCCCCACCCCACACAACTGGTATCTGACACTCACTGATCTCGGATGTCAGACAAAGAAACTTAGGAAAGAGCCCTTGTCTTGGGGGCTTGGGGAGAGGAGAGCCCAGCCCTACTGCAATAAAGCACGTCCAGCTTCCTTAACAAGCATCTGAAGGCAGATCTCCAGCACCCCCCTCCCACCCCTCCAGCCCCAGCTCCAGCTCCTGCAAACTTGCCCCTGTACCTCCTTAGCCCTCCCCAGCATGCTGAGCTAGGATCAGGGATCATGTCCTTACCTCCTCTCCTGGCTCTCGCTCTCGCTCTCCCTTCTTCTGGCTGCAGCTGCTGCTTGCTGAGCAGTTTTCAAGAGACTGAGTGCTCCTTCTAGCTGACTCGCTGTTATATACACTGCAGACAAGCGCCCCTAGATGGCAGCTGTGTAAGTAGTTTTCTGCCCAAAACACTTGGGAGAAAATAAAAGAGGGGGAGGGAGGTGTTGTTTCCTGGCTGGGCGATGCTGCACCACACCCCTGGGAAAGCCCAGCTTGTCCCCTCTTCCCCAGCACATTTGAAGGAGGAGTGGGTGTATCACCTGCATCCTGCCAAAAGGCGGGGAAATGCCAAGTCAACATTAGCCTCTCCTCTTAAATCACCAAATATTGATCTTGTCTCAGGTGTCTATAGATCTTTAATCCCTTTAACACATGCAGAGGTGCATTTCCTAGCTCTGCTAGAGACTTTTATCCTCACACCATCATGTCTTGATCTGTTCAGAGCCCTCTGCCTGTGCATGGCTTGGCAATACAGACTTTTTTTGTTGTTGTTCCTGTTGTTTGGCACGAAAGGAGGTCATCACTGCACAAAGCAGAACTCACTTTTTCAGGTTGTGCTGATCAACTGCCATGAGCTCAGGGAAATAGCCTCAAAATGTGTGAGATGCTGTCATTCTGCTTGTGAAGACACCCCAAGTCCCCCAAAAGTAAACCTAAATGCTGATGTTCTTTCCCTGGCCCAGCTAAGATAAATACTTGGGTTAAATGTGGGATATTTATTTTTCCTGTCCATGAAAAATAATTGTTTCAGTTTTTACTTAAAACTTAAAAGACTTCAGCTTAAAGAAGCCACCTTTCCCTCCACAGTGAAGCAACAAATGTGTCATAATTTCAAACATGTAAACATCCCAGCAGTGGCTTTTGAGCATCCAAAAACTGAGGCACCAAATGCAGCACTCTTAAAAAAGCCTTGTTTTTATAAAGTTTTAAGTATCTATACAAATGAAACCTTAAAGAGTTTCAAATTGGAAGCTGAAAATGATTTGTCACTTCTAAAATTTAGACTAGAGGGTCTTATTCAGCATTCTAGGGGAACGATCATATAAACTCAGGCCACATAAACTCTTCAGACAAGATAAGGGGTGTTGGTTTTTTTCCTTCGTTTGTTGGGTTTTTTGGGTGGGGTTGCATGTGTGAATAAAAATAAATGTAAAGCAACTCAAAGCTTCACTTTGAGGTCATGCTCTGTAGAGCTTTGCAGAAATAAACTGCAATCTATTCTAGTTCCACTGATTTCCAATTCTAGCAGTGTCCTGCAAAGTCAACTGCATTTATGTAATGTTAGCCCCACCTCTACTGGTGCCTGGTTCCTAAAATACAAAAGCTTGTGAACACTCAAGAAAAGTGGGGGTTTTTTAATACCTCCACTGCAATTAAGGCAGATAGAGCTAAGATTGCACGGCTCAGACACTAGAAGAACAGAAAGCCTCAATAATAATAAAGCAACAAAAAAAGGGAAAAAAAGATTATTGTCTGGGATAGTTGGGTGGGGGAGGCTAACAGTTCTCTCCTGGCATAAGAAAATGTTGTACAGTCAGAGGCAGTAAGCTCACACCTCGTTTTCTACACCTGCTGCAAGAAAAGATAACACCAAAGACAGGCCACATAGAGTAAGATTCTTGCCAACTAAAGTCACCCTATCACTTTCTGTGTTACTGAAGGTAAATCAGGTCATTTAAGCACAAAAGGCCACATTTTTGCAAAACCCAATCAAAGTATGAACAGACAACATTTTCAGGCATTTGGTTTTGCAAGTCAGTTGTCTTTAACAGCTTGCTGTTTTTCTTCCTGGTGGAAGATGCAGTAATCTACCTGCCAACAAACCAGTAAATCCCTTGAGTGAAAATACAAATGGTGCAATGTGAGTAAGTACTCTTAGCTGCTGAAGCTTGAAAATAGTGCTGACAGCTGAAAAGGCTCTGACTCATGTACTCCCAGTCCTGGGCATTTATAAACTATAGACAACAAAATGCAGTATATATATTTAGACTATACCATTTCCTCCACCCAGCATGGGATGTGTAGAATACACACATACACCGGGATTTGGGGGGGCACAAAAGTAAAACAGTTCAGCAACTTGGCACCAAATTCTTCTCTTTACTCAGAAGGCACCCAGGCACCTTTGTAACGGAGCTCCTGCCTAAACAAGGTTGATAAGTTAGCTAATACATTTTAAGCAGCACATTTTGAAACACAAACACAAAAAGCCTTTAGAACTTCTAAATATCTTGGCATTAGCCACCAGCTGCAAATACATTTTAAATGCAGCTAGCCCAACCTCTAGTAGTGGCTACAAAAGGTTAATTAAAACATGTTTTTAAAATATAACCCATTTTTCTGGTCAAGAAAGAGCTGGAATGAGGCCTTGGGACTTTTAAGAGATTTTCTGGTGCCAACAGCTATTCTTCTAGAGCAAAAGTAAGAAGGGAGCTCAGATACTTTATGTCTTTAAGAAGAGAAGTCTAATCAAGAGACCACTTATTTAGTATTGCATATTCCAGGTTTCTACTTAAGAAAAAAAATCTATTATCCATCAGGACACTCAATTCGTCTAAAAAAAAGGATCTCTATTTTAACTGGACTTTTTACTGCTTCATCCTTTCCTAGGAAACTTCGGAGGATGACCTTTGGGAAGGAGTCACCCCAAATTTATACCATCATGAAAAAGAACAACAGTTGTCCCTTCATGCTAACTGAGCCTGATTATCTCCTTGATGCCTGCATGGCTACAGCAGTTGGAGTGAGTGGATCAGGGGTATGGCAGGACGGAGGGGGGGAGGAGGAGGGGGGGAGGAAACAATGATTATACTAGCCCTCAGTCCTGTGAAAATCAAGGAGAGGATGAGGTTACCGAACAGCCTGAGTTCATGCACATATGTATATTTTGCCTACTGCTTGAGGAAGCTATGCTGTAATGAGAAATGAGAGCAGGGTACTTAGATGGAGCGTTGGGTCTCTCTGCAAATATCCTTTTGTATCTACCCTTCATATCTCTGCAACATGCGTACAGAGTAATAGGCAATATATTTTTTATGTGAAGGTACAACCCAACCTCTGCCCTACTAATGAACATTATATAATTTCCCTTTTCCTGCTTGAATTGTTCCTGAGTAGGGGATGATAGAGCCCTTTGATCTGTAGCTCCAAATTAGCAAAGCATTTCAGCACCTGCTTAACTATAAGCACTTACCAAAATCCACTGACTTCTGTAATTAAGTGCAAAAAGGACTGGGAGTACTCACGTGCTTAAAACAAAGCTCAAGTGCTTGGCTGAAGCAGAGCCCAAAAGCTATAGACAAAAATATTCTGGCAGAAAACCATAATCATTAGGTTGAAGAAACAGACAAATTCTCTTTACCTGCAAGGCAAGAAACAATGAATTCAGTTTTATATCTTCTTCCAAACAAAGCCAGCAACTAGCATCCAGCAATGCACAACACAAGACTGTCTTGTTCATGAATCACCTGCAAGTTCCTTCCATACACAGTGCACAACCCTGGCTGTACCTAACAATTTTCCAGTTTCCTCCCTTAAGCTATCATTTACAGGAAATGCGTTACTCATGCAGGATAGACAAGTATGTCCCTTTCCCTTATGAAAGCCAAATTGTGTTGGCATTCACAGATGAAATGCTCAACAAAAAAATTACAAAACAAATTAATGTTAAATCACTCCATTGCAGCAGTAAAAGTGAAAGAGAAGTTGATGCCCAATCTAGGGTCATTTGGGGGCTATACCGGCAAATAGCCAGGATACCAAAGGCCTCATCTCATTCACATAAGAATTCTGTCTGCTGCTACCTGGACCATGTCAGTCAGTCAGGGATGGAAGGTGATGTGAACCTGATAGAGCTATATTGGACGAAAACCTCCAGTATAGATGCAGTTATACCAGCAAACTGAATTCTTGCCAATTTCTTTTGCTCGTGGGAGGGTTGTTTTTATGCTATTGGTAGACAGCATATCTTTGCCAGATTTCATGAGTATACCATACCACACAAGCTTTTTGCATAGCCACTTGGGAAAAGAGTAGACAGTTTGGCTACCAATTTTAGTATAGACATAGTCCTAGTGTCTACCAGCTCCACAGACAATGTTGGCATCTCATGTTTTTCATTTGGTTAGAAAAACAACCAGGAAAAACTTCCCTAATTTTAAGAATAGATGCCTAGGGAAACAGTGCAACTTCCTGCATTGGAGGTTTCTAATATGAGGATGGACCCATGTACATATGGGATGGTTTAGGAACAGTGCATCTATGCAGAGGGTTAGACTAGATGACACTTGAAGACCCTCCAACTGTCTTAGGTGAGCATCACCATAGGGAAGCAACTGTTAGAGATTGGGGCTCCATGGTGTTAGGTGCTGTGTACAAACGTATTGATAGGTAGTCCCAGTCCAAACAGTTCATGACCTTAATAGATAAGGCAGGAGGGGATGGGAGAAAGGAAGCATTATCCTGTATCACAAGAGGAGAACTAAACCACTGAATGACTTGACCAAGGTCAGGCACTGATACTGTGAAAATAAGTAGGGCTTGAACCCAAGGTTTTTTTCTACTAGCTAATTGCCTTCACCACATAGCCTTCCATTGCCTCAGAAGAACAGAACTCTCTACTGCTTGTATTAGAGAAATACACAAAAAAGCTGTAATGCGCTCTATCCACCCACCTGCCTCTCCCCTCTTTTCCTCTCCCATCTTCTCCTCTTACCTAGAATCAAGGATTAGAAGCTGTATTTTATGTTCAAGCTTCCCTTCCTAACACAACATAGAGGAGTGCTGAGTTTTAGCCTGATCTAAGCAAGTACAAAAATGTAACTTGGCACCCACAAGCACTTGAAAGATTTTTGGAGTGATAGGAAGTACATAACAGAAGGGTGGGGGAGTTTTCAAGACCACAGAAATACTTAAAAGCAACAAATGTTTGTAAATTGCACAACAGGAGGGCTGACACAAAGCAAAGACAAGACTGCGCAGTGTCACGCACACATCTGTGTAAGAGCGTCTTAGAGAGAGAGATGTCATCATTTATCTGAAGACAGAGCATAGCACTCTAGCCAACACTGTTACTCAAATCCGAAGCATAAACACACCCAGCAACCAAGTCTCTCTTAAACAGAAAAACAAAGCAAAAGTCTGAAGGAACACAAACTCACAGGCAATAAACTGGAAATCAGGCTCCGTGCTCTGCAGGTACAAGGAAGTGAAATAACCTCCCATGATCTTTATAATAAGAGCTGCTGGGGCACCGTACCAAAAATCAGTATTAATTTCCTCCCTCTTATGAACCAGCTCATTTTCTGTTGTCTCCCTGTCACAGACCTTATAATGTGAATGTGATGATGGATGTGATGATGGAAGAACAGTACAAATGACCAGACTAATAAAAAAGAAATCACTACATAAAGAGCCATTTCTTTAAAGATCTCTGAGGAGAGAGACTAAAAAAGTAGTAGACTTTATCCAGGTCAATAATTGCTGTGGTGCTTTTCAGAGCCATTTCACCCTACAGTAGAAAATAACCCATGTCATTTAATACTAAGCCAACATCTAAATCAGGTTAAGCAGTCACTAACCAAAGTCAGGAAATCCAAAGTTAGTACTGTTCTCCTGTCTCACTCATGCCACATGGGATAAAAAGAGGTATAAAAGCATGAAGTGAAGGTGGAGTGTCAGTTGTAACAGTGAAATTCCTGGCTTTTTTTGGTTAACATTAAGACCTTAAAAGCAATTTGATGCCTCTTGGAAAATTTCAGTCAGATTCTATTTAGGTTTTGTCCTATAAATTCCTACTGTCGCAATCACCAGAGTGGGGTAATGCTAACAAAGGGTAGCCACCAACATGTTTGTTCAAGGGGCAAAATAAGTGAGACAGTCTCAGAGGCTAGTAGTAGCCCTGAAACTGACCTGTAATAGTCAGTGAGCACATCTACGCATGCATTAAATGTGCCATAATTACAGTGCATTAAGTTTAGTACCTGTAATAATAGGTAGTAAACTTAACACCGAAATTGGCAGCACCATGCAGTAGTGCCAGCGCACTTCTTTTATGTGATGCTAACTCACAGTAGACGAATTCTACTGAGCATTAGCACATTTACACAGCTTTTGCCATGATGTGCTAATGTACAGTAGAATTAGTCTACTGTGCTTCTAGTGTCTTGTGTAGATGTGCCCAGAGTACAGCTCTAGGAAATTGTAATTTGCAAACCAGCCCTGCTCAGGATGCTGTCTAATGCAGATCTGGGAACAATTTTTCAAATTCGGGATGAATATCCCATATTAGGGCATCCTCGGGGACATGGGGGCCCAACCATGAAATGAGGGACCATTCCAGAAAATCCCAGATAGTTGGTAATTTTTATTCTAATCTTGCTCTGAGCACTTGTATGATTATTATCATCATTATCATCATCATCATCATCTGTATTAGAATGGCATTTAGAGGCTTAAAGGCCAACAGAGATAAAGACCCTAAAGCACTAAACCTTATGCATAGTAATAACAGTCCTTGCTCCAAAAAAATTACAGTGTACATAGCCAAATGTCACCCAGTAGATCAATGGCACAGCCAGGATTAGAATCCAGGGGAAGACCTATAGCTGGTATAAATCATCATAGTTCCATTGACTGAGGAGATGGGACAAATTATACCAGCTGAAGATCTGACCCAGTATGGCATATGCTAGCTAGGCCAAGCACCTTCACTTGATAGATGAGCTGGTGACCAGCAGCCCCTTGCTTCTGCTGAACTTTTATTTATTTCTATTACCAGTAAAGCTGCGCACATTGGTGATGCATAGGGGGTGCACATGCACCCCCTGAGATTGGTCACACACGCCCTGAGATTGGCCACTGCTGATGCTGTCAGCAGTGTCTGCGGGTGGTCACTGGTCACCACCACACCCTTCTCGCCACCAATACTGCCGGCAGTGTTTGCAGGCAGTCACCAATCACCAGTCGGCACTCACCACCTCCCCACCCCCTGCCACTAAGACTGCTGTGACCGGTTCCCGCTCACTGCCGCCATGCCCCTGCTGCTGCCGCTTGCAAGTGGTCACTGTGTCCCCACAGCCTCAGGAGGCACGAGGCGTTTACAGCTGCACATGGAATAATAAGGCAAAGCAAGTCTGATGGAACTGCCCACATTCCTTGTTCCCACTGGAACTGTCTGTTGCAAAATAACCATCTCCTTATACTAGAGCAGAATAGACTCTGACGTGACTATTAGAGGGCATGTTTGTTGTATCTACTGTCCTTATGCTGTTTTCCTTAATCCAGTGGTTCTCAACCTTTTTTGTACGAGGACCTATTTGTAAACATCAATGGCCAGTCCTGACCCAGTGCCCCTCACTCCCAATCTGCTGTCCCCTGCCCCCAGGCCCCAGCCCTCCAGTGTGCGGAGTAGGGGGTGGGTGTGTGGGGCATGGAGGGCCCCAAGCAGCCCTTCACAACCTGGAACTCTGCCCACCAGCCAGGGAAAAACTAGCATTTCCCACCTTTTTCTCCTTTAAAGGAGAACCCATTTTTAAAGTTTCTTGATCCGTTTTTAAAGTTCGCTCATGACCCTTTCATATATTCTTGTGACCCACTTTTGGGTCATGACTCATGGGTTGAGCCATGCTACTTTAATTACTTTTGTGTCCTGCTCTAAAGCCCTCTCCCTTGTACTCAATGGACTCATTTTCTAAAAGACTGGTAATTTTGGGATCAGAGCTCAGTGCCCAGAATCAATCAGATTTTTAGAAGAGCTCAACAGATTTGTAAGTAGTCTCGCAGTTATGACCTGTGCCACATTGAAATGAGAGCTCAGGTCCCTGAAATGCCGACTCCTGGGGTTAGACAGCTTGACCCTCAGCGTGTCCTGCTTACTGGAACAGACCCTCCTTTGACCTGCCATGCCTTGTTCTTGTATATTGTTGGGAGGGTTTCTTGTCATGAATAGGAGTCTCCCTCTGGCCACATACAAGGTAGTTCTGTGGGGCTCCACCTCTCCACCTCTCCTCACACCCTGTCAACTGTGTATGATGATATTGGCCAACCCCACTTACTGCAAAGAGATGCAACTACAGTTTTGGCTCACTAGATGTTATCAGTAGAATCTCAGAGTGAATGTCATCAGTTTGGATAGCCATTTAGCCTGTCAAAGTCTCTGCCTACCTAATCAGTCAACTATAAAGAAATGATGAACAGAGAAATCAAAATTGTATGCTGTCACAGAGCACTGGGGTGCCCTGCTCCTAAAGAGGAGAAACTGCTAGGGAAAGGACCCTAGCAGTGAGGGAATAAGGAACCCAGCTGTGGGTTGTCGGGGCAACCAGGGAAGGTCAGCTGACTGGAAGGGGCAGGGCCTGGCCCTTATGAAGCAAAGCCCGGGAGCTGAGGCCAGAGGCAGTCCCCTGCCAGCAGCCAGAGAGGCAGCAGCTCCCTGAGCAAAGATGCTAGAAGAAGCCTGACCACAGGTACAGCTCAAGCCGAGTAAAGGATGGCAGCTCTAAGATGTCTGAGCCATGTGGTTTTAGCTGGGCGGCTTTAAGTTATGTTATAGCCTAGGGGCTTGTGTTTTGTTTTGTTGTTACACCTGTGGTTTGGGTGAGGGGTTGGAGGCGGCCTCATAGGGGACTCACAGTAGTGTGAGGACCCCAGCGCCGGTGAGGGCACGGTATTTGGGGTGTATAGACCCCTGCCCCAGAGAGGGGCAGCTGAGAAGCCCCAGAGAAGGGGGCATTGTGGAGAAGCCCCAGGGCGGGCATGGTGAGCCCCAGAGAGGGGGCATTACTGAGAAGCACCAGTGTGGACATGGCGGGCGAGAATTTGATGGTGCCCTTGGGCCAACTTGGCACGGGAAGGGGGCCTTGAGGAGATCACGGCCCTCCTGCAGGACCCTGCCGTGACATATACAAATCATTGGTCACTAAGAAAATCAGTCCATTGCATTGCCTGCTATACTGCCTCCCATAGGCAATCGCATAACAACAGTCAATGAAATCAAGAACCATTTGCAGTTCATTAGTCCATAAGAAAATCAATCCATCCAATTAATTCTCCTAAATGATCCAGTAATGATAATCAATAAAATCAAAATTATCCACAATTCATTAGTCATTAAGAGAATCAGCTCATCGTATTAATTCCATTGGCTCATCAAATCACTCTCAGTTCATTACATGCTAGGTCTGTCCATCAAGCAAAGTTCTCGCTTTTCCAAGTGTGCAAATCACACTACCTAATTAATTCTCACTGGTTGCTTCCCAATCCTCTGACCTAATGCTTCAGAGCCTGATGCCACAAGCCTCCCCCTCCTTGACTGGTCTTTCTTATGGTGGGCACCTGTTCACTTCCTCAGACCCTGATCAGGACCGAGAGATCCTCCCTCTCTCGGTCCAACTCCATGGTGGCTTCCTGGGGCCTTCTCTCCCCTCCCCTACTCCCAGGGCTCCATGAAACTCCTGCATCATGGAGACTCTCCCCTTGCCAGTTTCAGTGGCATTTGCAGCATTTTCAGGGCTGTGCAGCTCTGCAGTTCATCATCCCATTGCTCTCTCTCCTCCTTCTGCCTGCGCTGGATGTCTGGTTATGTACTTTGTGAGGTGCCCAACCAGGTGCCTGTGCTGGATGTCTGGTTATATACTTTGGGAGGTGCCCACCATAAGAAAGACCAGACAAGGAGGGGTAGGCTTGTGGCTCCAGGCTCCGAAACATCAGGTCAGAGAAGTGGGAACCAATGTCTGGTTATACAGCCAGCTCTTGGGTGTCCTCCAATATGGAGGGAATAGGGGCTTACAAACTGGGACCCCTACTTCCTCTGCCATTCAGCCACCACCCCCATCCCTGTAAGAACACAAGAGAACTCTCCAGCCCTTACTGGGCTATGTTACTTCCGCCAGGTACCAGAAGCAGGGTTTCTCAGGGCCCCTACTCTCAGGTTCCACTTTGGAGGGTGCCTCCTGCTTCCACAAGGTTGAATGATCATCTGTCACCAAGGTCCTTAAAAAATCAGGCGAGCAGCACCTAAGGTAAAGTTGGCACCAGAACCCATACCACCCAGTACTATTGCTGAACCTTGGTGTTGCCAAACCTAAATACTAAAAATCCCAACATCACAAGATTATTTAAAAAAGTGTGAGATTTTTTTTCCCCTTTTAGTTTTAGGAGCCTTGGTTTTGGAGCTGCTCATGTAAAAGTGAGCATGGAAACTTTATTTTTTTTAAAAACACAAAAAACTCAAGAGTCTTGTGTAATTACAGGACTCCAGGGACTGAGGCCTTAAAAAATAATGCCAAATATCTGGGAGATTTGGAAGTTTGTAACACTGTGAATGCTTCCTTAAATATGTGTATTACCTATATGATTTGAGTCTCTTGAGTAGGGATTAACTTCTCCCACACACATCAACATTTGTACTTCACAGATAACAACAAAAAGGAATGATGATGATTTATAGACAAAATGCATATATTATTACATGTATATCAAATCAGTGGTGCAGCCCATGCTTTGGCTCTACTTTCTCTTTCTTTCATTATAATTTAGTTTAGCAGCTGCAGCAACCCATGCTAGAGAGGTTAATACTTGTTTCCAGCTGCCTCACAGGACACTTTCCATCAATCATGTATGGAATTGCAGCTATGTCATTTTTTAGTGAGTTTCCAAAAAAGACAAATACCAGGTGTGGCAAGCATTCCAATACACTATGAAGACAGAAAAATCGATGTACATTCTTAATGCAAGGACTTAATGCAAAGACTGCTTTAAAGAAAAATCTATTTTAGTGTAATTAAGAATAGAACCCATGTAGCTAATAATTATTGAAAATAGTTCTCTCCTTCACAGTCCATTTCCACTTTACTCATCTTCCGCTAAGTAAAGATGTAACCTATAGGTGTTATTTGTAGCTTCATAATCTACTCTCATAGACATTATTGTAATTTATTGATAAAAGGTACTGAAGTGTGACTCCGTGGAAGATAAAATAAGTCTTTGAATGAGAAATCCTGCTTTCAGCAGTTACTGCAACTATCAATGAAGATATAAACATTAGTTTTTAAAATTTTCTCCTCCAGACTTAAAGGCTATTACATGGTTGCCTGTGATTGTGGAATAGGGGACACAGAGACCTGAGCGGTTCCTTTTGGTTCTTTGTTCCTAATGAAAACAATCTGGCACATACATTTAGACAGTAGCATAGCTAAGGGAAAATAGAGACAGTGAATGGGGAGAGGGCACAAACATAGCAGCCACTGCACTGCCTGCCCTCCTGCTACTGCCAGCAACACAGGCACTGATGCTGCCACCTGCCAAGGTGCAGAAGTGCCCAGGATGGACATCTGCATTTGGATTAATAGCATACATGGACAGAAGCCAGCCTATAGCAAGCTCGGTTCCAACTTAGCATAAGCAACAAGTGATACAAAAGAAATTCTGGTGGCGCAGGGTGGGGGAATACAAAGAGGGACAGCCATTAGATAAACCATGCTGTTGGTCTCTTGGCCTGGGGAGTCTGGGAGTCAGAGTATCTGGCTTCTGTTTCCAGTTCTGAGCAGTGTGGGGAGTGGTTCTCTAGTGGTTAGTCACCAAGTGGACCAGGCTTTCTAGGGTCTCCTTCTAGCTGCCACTGACAAATCACATGCCTTTTCCTTCTAGTTTTCTTGCCACAAATGAAAGGACTCAACCCACCCTGAAGGATGAACTAAACTGTGAGAGCTTCAGTATAACATCTCCTGGAAGAACAAAGAAGAAAAGAAGCAGCAAGTTCACCCTCTAAACAAGTTTCTGTTTGTGCTGCTCCTCTTACCTCACAGCAGGCCACACAGATGGATAAGACACACACCTGTCATTATCTTCTCAGCTGCAGACCCACCAACCCAACAGGTTTCTCCTAATGCTGCAGTTCTACAGACTGGCTATGAAGAGAATCACAGGCCTCTGTGGAAACCCCCAGAGGACTGACTGGTGGTTACATGTTAGGACCCCTTATCCAGCAAGGTGGTTGAATTTCCATCCCTGGAAGTGCCAGTCAGACAAACACTAGTTTGGGACAGCTTGGACACAGAGGCTCCCGCCTCAAGCAAAGGGTAGGACTAGATGATCTTCTGAGGTACCCTCCAGCTCTATTTTTCTATGATTCTATGACTTTCCCCTGATATCCACATCCCAAGCAGGGGCAGCCCAGGTAAAAACCCTGGTAAAGTGTGTAAAGAGTGTAAAAGCCCTGGTCAAGTGCTCCAGCCATTTGATCTGCCTGGAGACATCTCAGCTCTCTGAAGCCTCCAGCACCCTGGAGAAGGCAGCATCTCAAAAGGTCCCAGAGGGCAAGATGCACAGGAGGAAAGGATAAATGGCAATATCCAACACAGCAGAGAGGTCAGAGGAAGAGCTGGTGAGAAAGGGTCAGCAAGGACCCTAACAAGAGCCATTTCAGGAGAGCAGGCTCATTGGGAGACCAAGTGGAGTTGTCCAGGGTGGGGCAGGGGAGAGGAGTTCAATCCATGTGCTAAGGGGGAAGAAAAGAGAGAAATGTTATTAGGATAAGCAGGTGTAGTCAAGGGCTGGCATCTGAGGGCAAATCAAACTGTAATATGCTTCCACTGTTAGGGGAAGGGACCAGGGGCCTATCAGTGGCAGAGGAGGAGGCCAGAGTGGGGGTCAGTGTTGGGACAGTGGAGATGGGAAGGTGCATGGGAAGACATACACCTGCTCAGTGACTTCCATTTCCTCATAGCCTTGTTCAGAGACCTCCATTTCCTCATGCCCTTGCTCGGTGACTTCCATGTCCTCATACCCTTGCTCCACCACTTCCATCTTGACCATCTCCATCTCTCTAAATGTTTTCCCCTACTCGCCTAGCAACCCCCTGCTCTTCCATCTCCATGGCACCTGCTAGCGCTGTGACATAGCCAGGTTCTAATTGCTCTGCTAACACGTCAGCCCCAATAGCCCCACTGATAGCTGGCAGGTTCAGTTTTGCAGAGCTTGGGGTAAGGTTGGCTGGCATCTGAGAAGACTCACCCATTTCCCAGACATTTTTAAAGGCTGTGTTTTCAGGCTTGTTTGCTAGGGAGGGATATGCCAGAGGCCTTGCCTTGTCTGACCCCTAGCTGGTCTGGGAGATCCCTGAAGCCAGTCAAACTGTAGACTGGTTCATATTGGAACTTGGACTATCTAGTAACTAGTGTCAGACCCACCATTAGGAGAATGGAGAGTTAGTTTAGAACCCCCTGTGACCACCTACTGCTGCCCCCTTTTCAGGCATGGAGCAGTCCACATGGTCCCCCTACAAATCAAGTCTCTCTCACTCCCACGTTCCCCACATGACTGTCCTGCCACACCTTGATATCAGTGGGAGAGAGAATTGTACCATGCCAGCTGGCTCACCTATCCTCAAAGGTCAGTTCTGGACCATACCTACCTGTCCTGACACCACTGCACCTGGCAGGATGTAGCACCCTTTACAGTTTCCTGGCATGTGGTCTCCCCTCTACAGTGCCCTATAGGGTTTGTTACCTGTTCTTGCTGGACTCATTCCCCTATGTTCTCTTCCCTCAGTGTCAGCTGGGTCCTTTCCAGCACCAGTCTTTTCCTAAATCTCCCTTCAGCCCCAATCACAATAGAGAAAAGGGGGAACAATCAAATCCAGCAAGTAGTTTCAGTCAAAAGTGGAATATTTAGGAAAAGTCAAAATGTTAATTTTAACACTTTTTGAAATTCATTATTTTTGTTGCAAACCCAAATTTAGCTAGCGTAAGACATTACATTTGGGAGGACATATTGGGGGAGATAGTTCTTTGTTTTTTACATGCAAGAAAGAAACATTATCTTTAAAAAAAGAACAGTTTGTTTTCCAGGACAAATTCAGGAAGCTAAAACCTAGTGATGTTTGAGTTCTGAAACATCAATGTATTTTTTGTTGCTTTACAACATCAATCTGTAATGACACTGTATCCAGCAGGACATCACAAGAGTTCTCCACTTTTCTGTTTCTTTTTTAAAAAAAAGCAAGAATAAAGATTGTTTTATTGGTCTTTCTCAGCTCTTACACACAAAGCCATAAAGGCAACACATTGATTGTGCACATCACACATAAATACATATCTGCCCTCTTCTATACAGCAAACAAGGGACTGCAATCAATAAATTTCATTTTATGAGAAGTCACAGCTATGTGTAGAAATCAGTCCTTGAGTTTCCTCAAGTGAGGGCTCTTTTATGAAACCAAAGGAACGGCTTAGGGACTCTGTTGTACTGAACTGAATCCATGAGCTCGTTACAATGTCACTCTGTCTTAGATATCCTGTGGCAGAATCTTCTTGGAATGTATTTTGGTTCAGACTTGGGTCAATGACAGTTGACTTGACCTTAAAATAAATCCAGGCAATTTCAAGCCAGCAACCCATTGACTACTGTTTGCAATATAATAACGGGAGAGATCGAGCTCAGTTAAGTCTAAAGTTACCATAAATTTAAGGAGAAAGGAACAATATTCATTCGCTATATGAGAAAGGGGAGGTTTTTTATGTGGGCAGAATTCAGAGCATTCTGAGTAGCAATTTTAGTACCACATATGGTAAATGCATCTTGATTCTGTTAAGTAGTATGCTGATGTCTTAACCAGGCTGGCAGTAAGACAAGAGGTATGGAATTGTATGGGTCTTTTTGTTACAGTGACTGGATGGGGATCCTTTGTTTACATATAGCCTAGTTTTTGTGAGAGGTATTTTATATAGATCCCTAAGGAAAGATCTCAGAGGACATGCCTTAAGTACTCTGTGCACGTGTGTGCAATAACTCTAATCATTTTGTTTTATGGTCAGGCAACCAAGGGGGAAAATCTGACCCTGTGGAAGCCAAGAGGAGCTGCCCCATCAGCTTAAATGGGGACATAATTTCCCCTTCTTTATTGTGCATTTTATTTTTGTTGAATAAAGCTATATATAAATCATCCAGTATGTACCAGTTCCATATTGTGGAGGTAAAGGGAGATAACTTTTTCAACCAACAAGTGAAGTAACGTAACATTAAGGCAGTGTATTTTCTCCCCATTTGCAAAATATCAGCAAAAATGTTGATTTAAGAGAGGCTTCATATATAAATCCTTTATCTTTTATTCAATCTACCTATGACAGATTTTTACGTGATTACTCTTACGACAAACAAAAGCAGGATAAAATTAAACCCTTTAGTTGCACAGGTACAAATCAGGAGTAATTTCAGTGAAGCCAAGGCACACTAGAGTAAAACTGCCATAGAAAATTGGGTTCTCTGTATACAAGAAAAGAACTGAAGATACTAAAGGCAACAAAGAATTAACTCAGGCTTGCTACCATGCCAGCTGACTCAGATGAGGGCATGCCTTAAAATCCAAGCTAGGCTTTCTACTCGGACTAGTAACCCACCCACTTTGCAATGAGAATGCAGACTAAATCTTGAGTGCTGATAGTCCTCCAGTGTCTTCCCTTCATGCTCAGGGAATAGACTAGACAAATACTTCTACAATTCCCTGGAAAAGATTCGGAGCAGTTCAGTTTACTGCAGCAGAAGGATCCACGGGATGTCCCCCAAATGCCCTACCAAAATATACAGGGAAATGCAGCATCAGTAAGGACACAGCAAGTTGGAGAACATGGCTCCTCACACTTGGACAAGGCTAATTCAGAGGCTCAGACCTGGGTACTAATCACCCAAACTTACTTTGTGGAAAAGACTTTCTAAGGCTGCGTACATGCAATGCACCATTACACTACACTTGTCATTTTCACTATGCAAAATAGCTGTAAAACTTCATTATATCAAAACAGCAGTGTTTCCCATTATTTTTGAACTGGTAAGGATGATCAGGCTGGGCAGTGTTGAATAACGTTTTTCGGGCCTAAGCAGTCTATCAAATTAGCATGGGTAAAGCATGCCCTTTTCTGAAGCTAATGGCACACAGGAAAGTGATGTCTGGCTGCCTTTGACTCCCCTGCCTGAATAACCAGGTACACGTTCACAGCTGCATCACAGCTGTGAGCTGCTATCAACCTAAGTTCAGTTTCTTACCTGTGGATCTGGAATGAGACGCCTAAGCCACTCTTCCACTGGGCATCAAAGAGTACCACATCTATCCAAACCCTGTAAGCAAGAAACAGACCCCCTCTACAAGTGATCTGTCCTAGGGCATCTGCAACTCTTCCACCACTACTTGCATAGCTCCATCAGAGCTAACAAAAATACAAAACGTCTGCACATCTCTTTGAAAAAAGTCTAAATGACATGATGATGTCTCATCTACCTCAGTGATTAGACTCCTTTGATAATCCATGGAACTGCACTATACTACCATGGGAAGATTTCCCTTCAAAATTATAGCATGGAAAAAGCCTCCTTATGGTTTCATTTTACTGGCTATGTCAGTGCCTATTGTTCTGTCATAATCTCTTTTACACAATGCCACATATGCCATTTTTTAACCTGAGCAGGGAAACTATTGGTATGTTTTTCTATTAAAAACATGTTTCTACTAATGCAGCTGTTTTCTAAGCAAAGGTCTCATTTACATTAAAGCATAAATTATTCCACAACTTTTCCACTCCTGGTTGACTACACAATTCCTAGTTATATGGCATAACACTTGAACCTGAAATATATAAACTGAGACAAAGCAACAATAAGGGTTTAACAGTACGTCAGGATTTTACTTGTTATTCAAAGAGGTTAGAATTGCCAATGTAACACTTCAGAGAATCTTGAAATCTTTCAGAGGAGATAAAATATGTTTAAGGAATGCAGTGCTCAAAGTCAGCATTACACATGCCTGTATAGTTTAAACTGTTGATAACTTCAGTACTGACTCAAGCTAAATCTTAACTAATTGGGATTTTTTTTTTACTACTGCCTGAAATATAGTGTGAAAATTAACACATTAAATTGCAATTAGTACCGTTATGCTTCTCACAGCAGTTGGTGCTTCATTCCAGATGTACATTACACTTGAATATTCACAGCTGATCAGCTTTCTAGTAAAGAAATTCATAGAATGAATCTTTCCTTGAGGGATAGAGGGAGGAAAGAGAAACTGTTAGCAAGCTCTCTACATCTTTATCCACACTCTATAGAACATTATTTTGTTCTGAGAAATGCAACACTGCATCAATATTTGGTTTTAAAAGTTACTTAAAAACCATCGTGGAACACTGAGTATATCCAAGATATATTTGGAATATAGCAACTAGCATACTAAATCAGACCAAAAACCCACTAAGCCAGTATCTTGTCTCAGGCCATACCTAACTCCTGCTGCTTAGGAGGGTAGTTTTTTGGAAAAATCTGCTGCTAGGGAATGTTATTTCCCAACCCAAATAAATTAGAGGTCAGCTTGAGTTTATACCTTGAAAGAGACTTTACATTCCATTATACTTTCCATTATCTTTATAATAACAGGGATTGTCTTGTTCTCCCTACAAATTTCCAATTCTTTTTTAATCCTGCTAAGATCCTGTAGCAGTAAGTTCCACAAGTTAATTCTGTATTGCATAAAAATATTTCCTCATCAGTTTCATATTTGCTGCCTTCCATAGCCATTTAGCATCCATTTATTCTTACAGTGTAAAAACAGCCTGCTGTGACAGGTGTAGCTCTAGCCAATTATGGTCAGAAGATGCTGCCTGTCT